TTGGCACACCTCTGTGTCCCACCAGACTGAGCTACATGTGGAAAATTCTGCCACGCTGCCTTTTGTTTTTGATGCCCACACAAGGGGAGGGGTATCCAGGAGTTGCAGCGGGGATGTTGACATCCTAACTGACCCAGCACTCTGAACCTAGTGGTGGTTCTAGGTGCATAGGAGGCGGTGAAATCAGTCTGGGGTGGGGGGAGACCTAAGAATCAGTATGTTCGATGCTTACCAGGTGAGGGTTTGGTGTGCAAAGATGAGAGCCCTGACGGGCCCAAGTGAAGATTGGCAAAGGACCCCCACTTTCTGCTGACCAGCCCAGGGCTCTGCATGTCTAAATGCCTGTCAGAGTGGGTTTGAGTTCAAGCATGTCCCCTAACACAGGACCTAGCACACTCATGCCTTGCTTCCTGACGCCTCTGATTCACTCTGAGATGGCAGCTTCTCTAGATCAGCAGTCTGTGCTCACAGAGTAATGCATTTGGTCTCTCTGTTCTCTCAGTTACAGACAGGCTGCCTTCCCTTTCTCCTCCTTGCCCTTTCTTTCCTGGGATTAGGGACTGAAGTCGGGTCTCATGCATGTTAAGCAAGTGCTCTACCACTACACTGTAACTCCAGTTATGCTTTTACTTTAGTTTTTAAAAAATTTGCCACAGGGTATCACTAAGTTGCCCATGCTGGCCTTGAACTTGCAGTCTTTCTATCTCAGTTCACAAAGTAGCTGGGATCACGGGTCCAGACCAGGCTTTCATTAGAGGACAGTTCATGTTTTCTGATACCCGTAGCTATACTGGCCTCAAGAAAAGCATGCCACTTTGATTATCTGTACACTGTGTGAAGACATATTGCTGTGATTGGTTTAATAAAGAGCTGAATGGCCAATAGTTAGGCAGGAGGTTTAGGTAGGACTTCTGGGCAGAGAAAGAGAGGAAGCTGGAGATGAATCTAGATGCCATCAAGATGCAGAATGAGTTGAACGTATAAAATGGGAAAGAGGTAAAACCCTGGTGGTAGAACATAGATTAATAATTAAAAAAAAAGGTTGATTTAAGTTACAAGAGCTAGTGAGGCAAGCCTACGCTAAGGCAGAGCTTTCATAATTAATAAGAAGTCTTCATGTTGTTATTTGGGCTGGTGGCAGAAGAGAAAGTCATCTGCAGAGGTGTATAAGAAGAGTGCATTCTATGAATGTGAACTCTTGAAGCTGTGTCTGCAGAGACTAACCAATCAGAATTCCAATATTGAGGAGACATTGGGATGTTCAGATCCAGGGGCTAATTGTTTATCTCAGGCTAACTTTAGCTCCTGGAACTACCCAATAAAAACACTTGGGATCTGTTGGCTTAGCAGACCCACTGGCTTCCATCAACCCAAAAGCTAAGAATATTATCACATAACAACTTGGGCCTTTAGAAAAGCCTCCTTCATCTTGTAACTGCCTTACTGGTGTACCTACCAATGTATTTTAAACTTGCCCTTGTTCTGTGAAACTATAAAACTCCACAAGACTGTTTCCACATTGGAACGTGTCACATGGGGTCACCCAAATCTGTGTTCTCAGGCTTCGGTCATTCAAAATGGCTCCAGAGCAAATTGTCTCCCATTCCCTTTAAGATGGGAGCTCTGGTGTTTGCCTTGACGGTGCTTACTGGAAGTGTGCTGCAGCAGGGGATGTGTACATGTGTGTGCCCCGAGGTGTATGCAAGCATGTGCATGCATGCAAGTACGTCTTTGTGCATGTGTGTGCACATACTCATTTGTGTGGGCAGTCGAGGTATATGGGCTTGAGTTGTCCATTCAGAGGGTGAGGGATAGCATAGGCCAGCAATATTATCTTCTGGATTTGGGGACAGCTATCTTGTGGTTGGGAGAGCCTCCCTTCAAGGCCACCTAGAGAAGAGATTTATGTACCCCTCAAGCTGTTCTACTCAATGGGTCACCTGCTAATAGCCCAGTAGCGATGACTGTACAAGGCAGAGAGAACACCCTTGGCTGTCAGAGGTAGAGAGATTGCTAAGGCTCACAGGAAATGAAAACCCTGTGTGGCTGCAGGAGGGGGGTGATGCCTTCTGTCAGTTTTTATGCGAGTGTTTCTTTTTAAGCACCAACCTTCCTGACTTCGATGCAAGAATAAATTAATTCCAGAGCCCTGACTTGAAATTTCCCAACTCTGCCTGTCTACCATCTATCCACCCACACAAAAGAGAAACTGCCCAACCTCTTCAGCTTTCAAGACAGCAGCTTGCATTCCAAGCTCTCCCAGGGAAGTCTCTAAAAAAGCATGGAGGGTTTTTTTTTTCCCAAGCCCTTTCTCTTCTTTAGAATTTGCCCATTTTAACATAGGGCTGCCTTCTTTAAACACAAATAAAATGTTGCTCTGCTGGGCTACCCAATATTGTTTTTCTTGTCTAGCTGGGCAAGGTGACTTCAGACTTAACTTTTTAAAATTTAAGGAATCGTTTCTAATGACTCTTCATGTAACTCCTAAGGTGGCACATCTTATGTTTATATAAAATCTGTGTTTTTGAGAGAATACAAGATATCTGTCAACTTTTGTCTGGTTTGCATCCTAAAGGGATGAATGCTTTAAGAGATGTCCAGGCACTCTCACTATGGTGTCTGCATTCTTCATGTGAGGCAACCAGGAAATGGGAAATGAAGACACTCTGTAGGGATTAGCAATAGAATCTTCCAGATGATGGACAGGTGTCTGGCCCAGCAAATGAAGGCAATACAGGACCAAGATGCAGACTCTAGATTTCAGCATCTCTTTGTCTTAACAACTTCTCATTCCACTCTCTGGAATTCAGTATTGGATGCCTTCTTCCCTGCAGGTTCATAGTTCTTGTAACATATTCTTTATATTCAGTTTTTAGCCATTTATTTTACTTTTATTTTGCATGGGAGAGGATCTTACTATGTTGCTTAGGTTGGGCTTGAGCACAGTGCCTACCTAGCACTCTACTGGGAAAGCTACCTTCTATTATATGCATCACAAGGTCCAAACATTAGTGCTCCTGAAAACATTCTCTCCCTTCTTATCTCCTTGTCTGTACACACAAGATTACACTGGATTATTAACATGCTTGTGTGTGAGTGAAGGAAGACATGATTCCCACTCCTGTGTCTTAGGGAAGCTTGAAGAAGTCTCCAACACAGGGTAGTTGCAGTGTTCCAGACCCTTTCCTCCTAAGTAAGGATCTCCACCTGATACAAATCCTTCTAGAAACTGTCCCTAAATTGGAGCCTGAGGAAACCAGAGTTATCTTCCTACACAGGAGATTAATTAGAATGGCTTACAAGCTGTGGTCCAGCTAGACCAACAAATGGCTGTTTATCAATGAAGAATCCAAGAAGCCAGTAGTTGTTCAGACCACAAGGCTGGATGTCTCAGCCAGTCTTCAGTATACAAGGGAATTCTGAAGAAGTAGGCTCTAATGCCAGTGAAGGAAAGGACAAAGAGCAGAGCTTCCTTCTCCCATGTCCTTTATATAAGCTTCCTCCAGAAGGAATGGGCCACGTTAGAGGTAGATCTCCCCACCTCAAAAGATCCAGATCAAAATGGGGCTTCCCACTTTAAAAGATTTAATTAAAAAAAATCCCTCAGAGGTGTGCCCAGCTGCTAGGGTTTTAGTCAATTCCAGATACAGTCAAGTAAACAACCAATAATAGCCATCACCACACAGTTCAACAAGGTAGCTGAAAACGACTTTTGAGGTGCAGCAAGAGACACTGGTGAAGAATTTTATTCATGTTTATTGCTAGTGATGTCACAGAAATATCTAATCTACTGTCTAGGTTCCCTATGGCATGTTGGAGTATTTTTGCTGACCAGGCCTGATACAGAGACCTCAGCATGCAGGAGACTGATTGGACCTTTCTTACAACCAGTGCTGTGGGTTTCACAAGGGTGTCTTGTTTTGCTTTTGCATGGTTGTTACCAATAATGAACTCAAGAAGAACAGAAATCACATTATGGGTTGAAATTTCTCTAAACCCAGAGCATAGAGTTGCTTTGTTTTATTTTCTTGGATTAAAGGTCAGCTGTTGTTTACAGCTCATTACTGACTAGCCTGGTTGCACAATCACACCAGGGGGTCCTCTGAGACCTGTGTGTTTATGTTTACATTGGTTCTACCTCAAAAAGCCTTAAGCAAATGTCTGTACTCTATCCCTTTATCTGGTGACACTGCAGTGACAACCCAAATCCAGCATTAGTGCAGTTATGTCCATCACTCCTCTCAGGGAAATACTTTGGCAGGAAAGGCCAGCATTTCTCATCAAGGATAAATAAATACTACTGATTGGATCTCAAGATCATCTCTGCATACATGTGAATGCACACACACACACTCACACACACACACACACTTTCCAGGCCTCACAGATATGCACTTGGGCAGACACAGATCTCTGCCAATAGCTTCCAAGATCTGAAACAGTGATGATAACCTCAATGTGTAAGAAGATAGTGGTCCAAATAACCATCTCCCTGTGTGATAGTGTACGAATGACCTAGCTTTCCATTAGCTGTATTCTTTTAAAAGTGACAGCTCTCATGTAAGAGGTCTAAAGTATAGAGAATAAATGCAGCAACTCCAAGACTCCAAGACTCAGACAACCAAGAACCTTCTTGGACCGTAACTCTGGTTCAGCAGGTCAGGGATGATGCTGGCCCATGAACAAAGTGTGAGTAGCAAGGGCAACTTCACACTAAGCCCACACAATGGAAGTTAGGTTGCTAACTAGTGACTTCACAGACCTAACAGAGCAGAAAGCTGAGGGAGGGAAATGTCGGCTCACTGAGGTGAAGGCGGCACCAACTCAGTTTCTCTGGGCACAGAATGAAATATCGGGAGCACACTTTTATTCTCTTCTTTCACAAGCCTCTACATGAGATGTCGCTGGAAGTGATTGCCACTCTTTTGCCATGAGTCAGCCAATAGCTGTGGGTCCGCGTTTGAGAGGTAAGACCATAGCGGATGCCTGAAGTCTCTTACCTGTCATAGTCTTGGCAAATCTCTCCCACCGCCACCAAGGCCTTTAGGTACTCATTGGGCTGGTACGGGTGGATATAGTGCAGGGAACAGCTGTTCCTGGGGTCTCCATTAGAGGCAGTGAAATCTATAGCTACCTGGAAGGGGAAAACCAGAAGAATAGGCGAAGTTAGGTCAAATGCATTGCTTAGGAATCTTGACTAACCTGGAGAGAGGCATGGCCTCAGACAGAGAAAAATATAAAGAGCACACGACATATCTGGCTCTTCAGAAAAGTGAGAGAAGTTAATTACTTTGCTGAAAAACTAGTTATTAATTGGCTGAAGGTCTTTCTGCAGTCTTTTATTACCCCTGTCTCTTCCAGACCAAATGGAACTTGAGAAAGCCCAGTCTCATTGACCCATGACTCCAGGCAGCCAGGGTAAGGGCAGAATATTTGTCTCCAGTTTTACAATCCACTAAGAAAAGGCTTCTGTGCTCCATGGGCAGAACGGTTCCATCTACGAAGGATAGTCAAAACACTTTATGGTCAAATTCTGTAGAGAATGCTGTCTCCCGGAGAAAGCCACTTTTTGTATTTTTCCATGAGTGGTCTGTGGCAGAGATATGATTAAAGTGGTTTTTAACATATTTTCTCCCAGGAGAAACTCTGCCTTTTATGGCAAAGCATTCTTGCCATTCATGGGAGAACTCCTGCCTGCAACAAGGAACACATCTGGGTAGCTGGCCGTTTCAAGTAGGAACTACAGAATGAAAGCGTCTGTATGGTCACTGAATAGTTTTTACTCTTTCAACTTCTTCAGTTATTATATTTTAATTCAGCATAAAAATGCATTTCTTTAGGGTTTTTTGGTACATAAATTTCATTGTATTTTATTCTTAATTTCCTTCTTCTGTGTAGTGAGATATTCACTTTGTCTGCATATGTGGCACTGACCTCGCCCATTGGGGGTGGGGCCAGGGGCCAGGGGCCAGGAGCTCTCTCTTGCTTGTAGTACAGGGACAGAAGAGCATCTGGAGGCATCCTTGGGACCAGGAACCTGCTGGTGCTCATCTGTCTATGTTGTAAGTTATTTCTCCCTGAATGAACATCTATTCAGCCTGTTTGTTTTTCCTGATCCTTATTAAACCACAATACTCTGTCTATGCCTTGTGCCCTCTCCTGGATGATTCCATCCTTCCCCAAGTCAGCCCCCTCTGCTTGTTGATCACTTTTATTCTATTACCCTCCTGTCCCCCTATCCCTTAAGATTTCTTCTTCCTCTCATGGTCCCTTTTCTAGTTTCATCACACACACACACACACACACACACTTTTAAAACTAAGTTCCATATAAAAGAGTTAACATGATATTTGTCTTTTGAAGTTTGGTTATTTCACTTCATGTAATGATTTTCAGTTTGCATCCCGGTAGGGTTATGATTTTGCTTTTCTTTATGGCTAAATAAAATTCTGTTATGTATCCCACTTTTTTATCTAGTGATCTGTTGGGGGAACATCTAGTTATTTGTTTTCTTGGTGAAATTTCCAAGAAATTTCTTGAGTTGGAATTTCTTGAGTTGAAATTTCTTGTGTTGGAATTTCCAAGCATTTTAAATCTGCATTTTATTGATGGTTAAAGATGATGAATAATTTCAAGTATTTATTGACTACCTGTATTCCTTTCCTTCTGTATGTTGTATGATACGTGTGTGGGTACATATGCATGTGTGTGTGTGTGTGTGTGTTGGCCCAAGGTCAATGCTGGATACCTTTCTTGATTACTCTGCATCTTCCTTACCTCTCTACAGGACTTAGTTAAAAACTAATTTAGGAAGGATTCAATGTTATTTTCAGAATACCTGTTCATTTTTGATAAGATATATCTACTGACAAAGTAGAAAGTGTGTGATAATGAAGATCACGGAGAAGGAACTTACCATACAAGGCATCCTGACTGAATAATCAGGAAAAGAGACATAACTTCCAGGAAAACTTTCTCTACGGACTGCTCTTTTGGCATTGTTCCTTTGCATGGAACTGTAAGGTAGACATTGTTGCTTTTTTATTAATAAGCATGATGCTCAAAGGTGTTGAAGGTCATATAGGTGCCATAGGGTAGAGCTGTGTTTAAAGCTACATCTATGCGCCTCCAAAAGCAATGCTTAGTTATTACACTATTACTCACCTAAATGAGCACTGAAGTCTCTGTTTAAAATCCACCAATAGATGACTGGATAAAGAAATTGTGGTATAAGTATACATATATACAATGGAATCCTTCCCAGACAGGAGGAAGAAATTATATTGTCTGCAGAAAAATGGATGGAACTGGGCTCCTGGTCATAAAGCAAAATAACTCAGACTCAGAAAGCCACATATTTTCTCTTGCCTGTGGATCCTAGATTTTAGACAGATACATAGACTCACACACACGGATGAGAAAGGAATTACAGTGAGACTGTCTTGGCAAAGGAAGATGACTATTAGGGGAAGAGAGAAAGAGGAAGTCTGGTCATTGATTTTTGTCAAAATATACACCATGGATGAATGAAAATGTCTTTATAAAACCTATCACTATGTACAATAAATATACAACAAAATTTAAAAAGATCCTCAAATCTCTAATGGGGTATAATATTTCCCATTAGAACATGTCTAGAGGTAGAGAGACTGCCAGGTAGGAGGCAGGATGTAGCTGTGACAATTCAGGGATGTGGTCTTGAATCAATCAGTTCTCTGTGACTAAACAGTTGTTGGGGGGAATGGGAAGGACAATCCAAAAGTGTGTGGCAGATGGAGAAGAGTGGGAAGACATTCTACTGAGGATGGATGAAGGTGGTCCCAAAGAGCCCTGAAATGCTGTCTTCTGAGGTGTGCTTCACCCTGAAAGTGAGAACCAATCTTCATAAAGACAGAGAAGGTGATGGAAGAACCTCCTTCCAATCAAGCACTGTGATGGGAGCCAGTGGCAATTAAAACCTCCATGAATTCTGAGCAGGAGACAGGAAGCACGCTGGGATCCACTCGTGAGGATCTTGTCTGACATATGGTCAAAATATGTACAGAAAATTCTAGAAAAGTAGCTCTAACAGGAACATGCAAGAGGTGCTCAGAGACTAGACGTGGTGGTACATGCTGTTAACTCCAGCACATGGGAGAGCAAGCTGACTCACGAGGGAGAGATGCAAAGCAAGGCCAGCCTGGGCTACAGAGCAAGAGATGGCATTTATCATACCAGGGTAGACCCCTGGGTTAACTAAGTTTAGCTCAGAGACCCACCATTCTCAACCTTTTCCTTACAGATAAATTTTGGAGATAACATTGCCTTGCATATACAACTGAGTTTAAAAGGTAAGTCAGGGCTAGGACGGCCAAGTGTGAGGTCACTCCTGTTCTTCCCCCCGAGACAAGCATTTAAACACTCTTGGAAACCCTGAGCTTGGTGTGATGACACATACCTGTAATTTCAGTGCTTAGAAGGATTATCATTTTAGACCAGCCTGGGCTATAGAGTGAGACCTTGTCAAATCAAAGTCAAAAGCCCAACAACCATCCCTTTAGGAAATTCCAGAGAGCATTGCAACATATGACCATTTCCTTAATTAAACATTATCTGAAAGAATAAATCACCGGTAAATGTTGACATATTTTTGTTGCTATTTTTTTTAATACTGCTGGAGGTCTCATGCCTGCTAAGCTACCTAACTTCTGTTCACAATACCCTCACCACTGCACTCTTCTCAGTGGAAGGCATCCTGTCTGTGCCTCCTGACTGCCAACATATGGTGAAAATCCATCTCAGGTCTTCATAACCCAACTGAAAAACCTGAAATGCGAAGAGTATTAAGTGACAGCAAATACATATTGGTGGCTTGATATGAATCTAAAGGATGAAATCAGGTAAAATGGATGGAGAAAAACACCCATAAAGAAAAGCAGCAACTAAAGGGACAGAAGGGTCCCCCATGTCCTCCCCAGGCAGGTAAGATGCTCGAGCTGGTCTCTGAGCCTAGGTGTGTCACCTGATTTCATGATTTGCAGAGAAATGTGTATGTACCACATTGGAATGAACAGACACAGAATTTTAGCAATCATACATTTAACACATCTTAGAGCTGAACTGGGGTGCACAAAGATGGGCCTATATTGTAACCCGCAAGAAACCCTGTTAGGACATTTCTCTGAATCCTTCATCCTCAGGCTTGGAAGAGTCTCACTATTTTTTTTGATAAGCTATGGTGGAGCAGAGATACTGTTGAGAAGGGGATTGTTACCAAACACATTCAGGGTGGGAACTCAGTAGGATTTAGTGACATAGTTAATGTGGAGTTGGATGTCCAAGGAAGAGGAAGACTTATTTGTGGCTAGAGAAGGTAGTGCACCTGCTGGACAGCAGAATAATAGGAGGCCAGGGTCAGAAGGTTAGAACTGGGCTACTTGGTTTTGGTGGCCTAAAGCCCGTCTTTGGGGGAGTCTTCATTTCCTGTAGGATTAGTACCTGCATCTATCTATGTTCAGAGAGGCTGTCCCAGCTCAGGAACAACTGGGACAGGCTTTAAAATCTCAACTGGTGAAGAAGGAATTAACCAATGACCTGTACCACCTAGTATTTCCTGTAGTTGCCTTAAAGATATTTTCCCATGTGCTTACATAGCAATGGACAGTCTTAAGCACATAGCAGATAGCAGCTCTTTTTTTTTCTTCTGCCAAGCAATGGTTTCTAAAGTGTCCCTCCAGAAGATAGAGATAAAATACCCATCTTCAGGAGGTGGCCTTCCACCAGGGGTTTTGTGCTCTTTAAAGTTAGTTATGGTGGGAAGAGAAGGCAACGAAAGGTTAGATTTATTTTATTTTGGAAAGCAACAGGGGTGGAGGGCAGTGAAAGATGGGATTAAGTTGAGAAATAAAAACGAGGAAATGACTGGAAATGCCAGTTTGTGGAGGTGGCTGCAGACACCCGGATTCTTGAGTACCAGCAAGCTAGCAGACTCATTTTCTGATGGAAGGCACTTAAGAAAATCTGGTCTTCTGGCGTGTGCTACAATATTCTCAGCAGGCAGCTGAGAGCAGGCTCCTGGGAAGCTCCTCACATTTAGAAGCAGATGTGTGGAAAGACTGTGAAAATGGGCCATAGAAAAAATGCCAAGTGCTCCCC